TCTTAGCCATGCTAATACCGGTCAGCCACATTCCTCTATTCCCAAACTGGGAGGTTTCAGATTGCCCTCCAGTACTCTTGGAGGGAGCCAAAGGAGGAAGGGACAGAAAGAGAGCTGCCCTGTGAACAACACCTGTCGTCTTACCAAGTATAAGCACCTCCACGTTTACAGCTCATGCTCCTGATAGTCTTTATGTCATGTGCTGCGAGAACCCCAAATGTTTGGGAATAATTCCCACGTCCAAAGGTGAAAAAAGACACACACTGGCACAGTTGAAGCATCTTCTAAAAAGGTTTGAAGAATCGTATTTCTTTTCCACAACAATGCTTCACATTCTGGAGTCTCGGCCAGGCAAATTAGCCATAATTATTCCACAGAATGAACAGTAGTTATGTTTCCATCCGAAGATGCGCATTAAATGTATGCGCAAAAATGGAAATGTCGCATAAAACACGTGCAAATAAAGCAACATTTCCATCCAACGAGTCAAAGAGAACAAAATCATCACTTCCTGATTTACTGGCGCCAAATATCAAAAGTAAAAATGGAATAATTTACTGCAGTAGGTGAAGCTGCATGAATCTTTTCTTTATTTAATAAATTACTTGCGGCTAAGAAACAAATGTCAACACACAATGAACAGGTACTGGCGTTTGAAGGGGTGAGACACGGAGCACAGACAATCTTGACAATTCTGGAGGTAATTAATAATAATATAACAACACTAATGTTTTAGAATGACCGAAACAGCAAATGCTTTACAATGTGGTCAGCCACTTGGTTTGTCCATTCACACGTTTTCATAATCACATGATCTTTTATAACAAAATCACATGACTTTTTTTAATGCACATACTGGAATTTGCGTTTCCATTGAAGTTTATGCGCATTTCTTTTTATCGAATAAAACGTTTGTCCTACTCAGTTATGTGCATATGGTATTTATGTGCATTTTCAAAATTGATGCGCATCTTGGTGTTTACATCAACGTTTTTTTATGCATATGTCCAAAATTCGTATAAAAATAGGAGGATGGAAACATAGTTACTGATATAATACTTGGTGTGTTGTACTCTATAAACAGGCTGAAAAAGAACATTGTGCCTTCAGCACCTCTGTTTTGTTGTCTCCAGTACCGGGACTGATTCAACCATGGTTTCATCCTTCATTTTTTAGATGAATTAGAAGTGAAATGCTTCATTCAATTGTTTTCTCCAGGGGCAGATTTAACCAATAAGCAAAGTTAGCGGCCGCTAAGGGCCCCAGTAAATCTAAGGGGCCCAAAATAAATACCGAAAAGTATAAATAATACTATAAATTATATATAACATTGTTTTCTATCATATTTTATATGTTGTGGTCAAATTTGTTTTGTAATTTGAACGTAATTATTTAATCTGCACAAATGTGTCCCCCACCTTCAAGCAGTCAAATCAGTAAAGATTTAGTTTTAAAAACGAAATTGTTCATTTATTTTGTTTAGTTGTGAATTCAACATAAGAAATCACAAAATTTTAAAAGTTTTACAAGGTGCTTTACATGTTATTATTATTTTGCATAAACAAAATGAAGAGAATGAGATCAAATGATATACAGTAAGAAAAAACTGCTAAATAATAATATTAAAAAAATGAAAGTACAAAAGGTGCATTTTAGAACTGTTGGGCCCCTTGGCTAGAATTGCTTACAGGGCCCCAAAATCCCTAAATTCACTCCTGGTTATATCACATACCATGTACCTCAGGATTATATTTTTGAAGTTGCTGTACAGAGCCATACAGTGCAATGTAACTACAATGCTGTAGAAATATTTAACAGTGGAACTGGTGTTGAACACCTTTTTGCTGTGGATATGCACAGAACGATTCCCGAAAAGACACAAACAGGAAACCCATACTGGAACTGTATGGGTGAAATAGGGTTTTGAGAATACACACGTCCTTAGTGACATACTTGAGATACTCTCTGTCAGCATTTAGAGCAGTTGGTGATATAAGCAAGGTGTGCTTTAAAAAAAGATTAATTAAGGCTGTACTGCACAGCCACACAGCTTTCAGGATGTTTAGACACAGTTCACCTTCCTCACATACTACAGATAACTTCACCTGAGACTGCCTAAAGTACTCTGAAAGTCTGTTGACTATTTAGCATTCCACTCCAAGACGGAGAGTTCAAATCAGTGGGTTGTTCCCTGGGCCTCAAGTTTACTGTGTTTATAACAGTCCAGTACATTTAGAGAATTGATGTTTTATCTATTCATTCAGGCAAGTCAACAAGGTTAAAAGCGAGAGAGATTTAATGAATTTTCTAGCTTGTAAAACATTCTTCACCTGGCCAACAGCTCATCTCGAGGTTAACACTCTGCCTTCAGCCAAAGCAACAGGCACGTCACAAATTTTTCACCTGATAGTGAAGTGCTGCTGTCACATGCGAGCAGAGTCTGGTAAAAAAATCAGCACCAGGGGAGAAAAGTTCACCTCCCCCACAGCGACTATGTGCAGAAACCACAATAACACTTACAAAAGTTACAGATATGAGTACACTGAAATCTGACTCATAAATGAGTCAGGAAGATTTTCATTATTAGCCAAATATATATATATATATAATAATTGTCAGGATGGTTTTAATATTGCATGTTTACTTGGATGATACTAATCCGTAAATGAAAGTCATATGAGCATAAAAATAAAATAAAAATATTTTACAGTTCTTAAACAACTACTGTTACCTTTATAAACTTTTAATAATCTTTAAAAATATATATTTACATAAACGTTAAATAGACTTTTTTTTATTATGATATCAGATTTGAATCAAATCTTTCAACATTCAAGCAGAAGAAAGTTATGATACTGAAGTTATGATACTTTGTTTTCAACTAAAAATAAATTCGGCCCTATCTTTTTTGTGTGTGTGTGTTTTGGACATAATTTACATGACAGCTGCATTTGAGGGGTCTTACATACATTTTGGTCTTAAATTATACAGGTATTGACTTAATTTAAGTTAATTACACAAATGTAATGTAGTGAATTATGAATTATGTTACTGCATGCATAGATAAGGCCACACGGAATCTGCACGCACAGAAATGCACAGATTTCTGCAAATTTTTAGCCCATCGTTGAGATGTATTTACACGTGTAAATGTGTGTAAATTTACATTTATTCAGTTTTTAAATTAATTTCACTAATATTATTGTGATATAATAATAGTAATATTAAAATGTTCTTATAATTTATTTACAATGCAGTTTGTAAAGTAATATTTTCTATCTTTTAGTAGATCTATTACATGAGAGACTTGCTTTGTTTACCAAGTAAGTTGATCTAATTGGATTCGCATTGTAAACATTAGATAAAAGTAAAAAATATATATATTTAGTTTTTAGTTATGATACTCATAAAATGATTCCACATAAATCCACAAATATTTTTCAAAATTCTCCACAGAAATAGCAATAGATATCTGCAGATTCTCTCTGGCCCTACTAATAGACAACCACTTCAACAAGAGATTACAAGAATGTGTTTGTGCTGCTCAAGATGCCATGCCATACAGTGACAGTATTAGTCCAGCATGCTATTATAATAATGAATGAAAATCATTTTATAGTGTTATTATCTGTATCAGAAGCTTTTAAAACTCAAAGTTAAACTTTTCCGTAGTCAGTACACTGTGTAAACGTGATTGTTTTGGAAATTATTAATTGACATATATATCCAGTTTGTTCACTTTTGCAGTTTCAAGCACATATATTTATGTGCATGTGTAACCACTCATCTCATTGCTGCAACTTGTTCCATCTGTGATTTATCAGCACTGCGATGCTGCCAACAATTAGGCCTATACTGATAAGAGCAACAAGCAACATCTCAAAAGACCTAAGGGAGATTTTTTTTAATTATGTGGGATTGTTAAGCCGGTAAAGGTTGTCTGAATTATAATTAGAGCAGAAGATGTTATATACAAACAGTACCGTTCACATTCTTTAGTAGAGGATTCAAACATCAAGGCCTCCTTGGCTGAATTAAAATAGTTGTAAAGTGAGTTGAAATAAAAACATTCAATTCATCTTGATTATAGTAATTAAAGCAAAGGTAAGTCTTGTAAACACAGAATGAATCTATCTAGAAGACAGTATGCCTCCAGTGAACATTTACTGTTGGCCTTTACACCAAACGGTGAAGCACTCAGGCGGCCACATTCCAATTATACACGGTCTGATCAACACTCCTCACGGGGGCGCGGAGGGGGAGGGGCGTATGCTAATGACGCAGGGACGCGCACTCTCAGGGAGCGTTGATCACGCACCGGGAGCGCTGATACTCGGCGGGTGCGCTCCTAGGTCAACCCGTGACTTCAGATAATTAACGGTCAGGATGCGTAGAGCTACAGCCTATGTTTAATTGCTCAACCTGTTTTTTTTTTTTTTTTTTTTTTTTTTTTTTTTTTTTTTTTGCTTTTTTGCTTTGTTTCTTAAACAAAAACATTTTGTTTTGAGCTTAAAATGATAACGCAAGCTTTATTAAACACACAAAGATAACGATTAACATAATCATGACATAATATGTCAACAATACCAATAAGTGGAGATGTTCAAGTACAAGTTGCTGACGCACGGTTCAGGTGCGTCTCTGCGTTCAGATACCTGCAGTGCGGTGAGCATTGCCAAACGCCCCATGACAAAGCACTTATTTCAATCCAACACGGCAGAAAAGCGCAACAAAATCACCCTCAAGCCTCATGGTGTAAAATCTTTTCAGGTTTAACCGTTTAAGAACACGCCTATGCTTTTATCGCTAGGTAAATGATCACGAACGATGCTCCAGAAACTGTACCGAGGATGCTCTTTGCTCAGGCTGTGCTTTAGGAGCAAGCGCTATAGAAAGCCGAATGATAACAGGCATCCATCCGTTCAACAGTTAAAAACAAACGACAACAGCTGAGAGTGAGAAGGCATGCGAAAAACACTACACAGACATCGTTGGTATACCTGCACAAGTTGACATTTGCTGCAACGCACGAGAAACGCCTCCCGTCTGCTTTCAAAACGAGACAATGTATCTCACAGAGTGAAAAACAACGACTCCTTCCTTGTCAGCAAGTTCAGGTAGCAAAAAACGAGCAAGATGGTCAGATGACATTTATGAAAAACCTAAGTGACATTTTTGTCCTCCTGTCCGATCAGGTAGACACATATTTACAGGTCGCTCACACACGCGCGTGCTGAGAGAACCGCTACATGGCGCGCGCATGGCGTCAGCCTGAGGAAAAGTCTCTTTCTTCACTAGCGTCTGCTTAAGCATCTTAAAAATTAACTATGCACTTGAATCGAAAAGGAGCGAGTTTGTTTGAATGAAAACGATGTTTTTAGTTAATGTTGCCTTATCTCACGCGCGCGCAAGAGGTGAAGCACGCCTCACGTTTCTCGTTATCGATTTCCTCAGTGAATTTAGTTAGGTTGACGTCTAAACCTCTGCTATGCACAAGATGCAAGGTAAATAGTCATATTTCAAGATCGCAAATCGCCAGTACAGTAGTAAGTTATCCACCACACAGAAAACTACACAGTTAAGGACGCTGCGTTACAAAGCGGATGCATAAAGTCCCCAAAACAAATAAAGTGTCAGTGCAGTAAGTCCAGCTGCAGCAGAGCGATTTATCAGGATTGTCTGCGCTGCTCGGGATGTATACGCATTCCTTATATAGGCTGCAGCAGTTGTTCTAGCAGCAGACAGCCCTTCAGATTCCTTTCCTTTTCTCCTCAGCGTTACCACCCAACTAGAAATGTGGCAGGCTGGCTGCACAAACAGGTTGCTTTAACTGGCATCGTGCTCCGAATCCCGCGGGGACGCCTATAGACTGGCAGGACTGTTGCATAAACACACCCTTATTTTGTGCTTTGTAAACTTCAAGAAGAAACTTTCCTGTCAAACATCACCGCGAACTGAATACATGCCCCCTTTTCTACTGCAGCGGCACCGGAGAGCAGCGTGCTGCTGTTATCAGGCACTTTCTGTTCAGCTGGATGACAAAAGTGCGACTTGTAGCTGTTGCGTAGGAAGTAAACAAGTCAAACTGTCACCTCGGCGATATAAACATGTTTATCCATCTCCATAAGCTAAAATGTTTACCATCAAAGGTTATTTTTAGGATTCTGCTAGCCGCTAGCTACCTGCTACCACACAGACAGCGGAACAGCCCCATTGCAGATACACTAAACAAAGTTTGCAGTTAACGAAAATAAAACAAAATCCTCCCGAACAAGCGGTCTGTTCTCAAACATGTATTTATGAAAGCGTTTCCCCACTTCAATCGCTCAGTCTGTTTCGTGTGAAACCAAATCCGCCGCATCGGACCAAACAGGTACATTTTGAGCGAGAAAATAAGTTTCAGTTCGGTCGAATCTAAAGAGGAAAAGCCAGCAGTGACGAGAAACAGACCCAATCCTAAGTATCTGTTTTGATCAGAAAGCTTAACAAAGTGAACTCGAGGCAAAGGGGAATAAAAGGGGAAACAAAAGCGAGAGTCACTTGTATGGGACTGGCTGCGAATAACGGTCCGCGCTCGCGCTCTGTACCGCTAGGCGGAGAGAGAGTCGCGAGCGCGGCAGGTATAACGGTACACCAGATAGGGGCTATAACACAGCGCTACTTTCCAGCACTTTGAAGGGCTCGAGAAGTTCTGCCAGCGGCCCGGAGTCCAGAGTTGAATGAAATCAGCCGTCGCCAATCAAAGCGAAGGGTTTTTACTCACCGTTTGTCCTCCTCGGGTTCGCCTGCTTTCTGCGCTTACACCTGGGGCCATCCGCCATGATCCTTTCGCTGTGTCTAAATGCTGCTGGAGAGTCACCTCCTCTCGCCCCCACACCTCCCCTCCCTCCCTTCTACTCCACCTCCCCTCCCTGCACCTGGTTTACGACACTCGGCTTTACGACATTACCTTCTGGCTCCTATACCTCTCTCTCTGGCGCTCAGACCCCCGTCTCTGGCCAACTCCCGCCCCTCACACCACGCGCTCCCCGTGGCGCTGCTGCCTGTCCGAAACGGTCACCGATCAACCTGTCCGTGAGCACGAACACTTCTTCGGTGTCTGTATTGATTGACAGCTCAGAGGAAGCAAGGTTGTTTGCATAAAACAGTCATTAAGTGCAACGGTAGATACGCAAACTGAACCTAGCGTCAAATTATGTATTATTTTACAGTGTGAGTGGGGGCGGGGAAAGTTTGACGCGTGCACCTGTTTATTGCGCGCGCACGCAAACACACACACACGCTGTCTCAATCTTGGCAACAACTGTTACTCATTCATGATAAACCACAAAACTACTTGTCATGAAACTTGCTTTGAGAAGCTTTTATCTTATTGTATGGTGGTCGCTGAGACTAGTCACTCTTATATGACTCGTATTTAAGGTATACTTTAATTAAAGTCATTATCTGTACATATATACAAAGTCTTGGCTACAAAAATATTTAAAAAAATATAATAAATATAATAACAGCCTATTGTTAAAAATATTTCTGTTTTTATTTTCTGTTTTTTTTTTTGTAAATTTATGCTATGAAGAATATAGCCGATATCTGCATAGCGTAAATGTACAAAAAATTATAACTTTTTGTATAATTTATTATACATTAGGCAAGGGTTAACAGCATAAAATAAATATTTTAAGGTAAATATAAAACAGGGACATGTTTTCCTATTTATATAAAATTTAGATAGATAATCCTATATTGATTATATTTAAAATATGATTATCTATCTGCACTTGATATGAGTAGGAAAACATTTACCTGTCTTATATTTATCTTAAAGTATATGTTTTATGCTGTTAACCCTTGCCTAATGTAGAACATTGATTTTAATGTGCATTCAAAAAGCTTTTGCTAAACAAAGACAGAAACAAATAATATGGAGGATAGAATGTTAAAAAGTAAAATAAATTAAATAGCAAATTAATCATAATGAATATAATAATTGCCTATTTTACGATATATTTCTTTTTTACATTGTAATGTAATACACTATAATTATAATTATAACTGTTTTATTCATTATAATAAGCATTATGTATTTCTATTTTATTGCTAATCTTTTAAAAAATGTTAAAAGTAAAATAAATTAAATTAAAGTTGGGGGACACGATATGTGTGAGCATGTGAAAGTGTATGGGTGTTTCCCAGTACTGGGTTGCAGCTGGAAGGGTATCCGCTGCGTACAACATATGCTGGATAATTTGGCGGTTCATTCCGCTGGGGCAACCTCTGAAGTATAAAGGAACTAAGCCAATAGAAAATGAATGACTGAATGAAATTAAAAGTTACACTAATTTAAGCCCATTAACAAAGGCTCGAATTAGGAATCACACAGTTCTGACATACTGCATATCAGTGGTGTAAAGTAACAAATTACAAATTCTCCAATTACTGTAACTGAGTGACTTTTCTCAGGAATTGCAATTTACTAAGTAGTTTTTAAAAATGTGTACTTTACTTTCCCTTGAGAACATTTTTTTTTTTTTTTTTTTTTTACTTTCCCTGTACATTTTTTTTATTCCACTATTTTCCTTTAAACTGCAGTCACTACTTTATTTCTTTCTTGTCTATGGTGATTGGCGAAAGTAGAAAAATCAGTCCTGTGATTCCTGTTCAATCAAATCACACATAGAAAGTAAATACCGTCCTACTGAACAACCTCAAGGCATGGGCACTTTATAAATGCAGCAAACCTTTTGAAAGCATTAAAAAAATGTCTAAAAAGATGTTCAAAATCTTTTCACGCTATGACCCAGAGACTGTTTATAGACTGCAAGTCACTGATGAGAAAATGAAGGATGTCGACTGTATGCTGACTGAAAGCACTAAATCACTTTAAACAATCACTAAATGGAACGAATGAAGAATGGATGGAAGGGCCGATTAAAGGAAGGACCGAACAACAAGGAATGAAAGGAAGGACCAAATGAATGAAGAAAGGATTCAAGGAAGGACTGAACAAACTAAGGAACGAAGAAAGGAAGGAAGGATTGACTGAACTAATGAAGGAAGGACCAAATGAATGAAAGAAAGGATTCAAGGAAGAACTAAACAGTTTAAGAAACGAATGAATGAATGAATGAAAGAAAGAACAAAAAACCAAATGAAGGAAGGAAAAAAGAATGAAGGAATGAATGAATAAGTGAACAAAGAAAGGGCCAAATAAATGAAGGAAGGATTTAAGGAAGGACTGTACAAACTAAGAAACAAAGAAGGAAAGGAAGGACAGGAGGAAGTAAGGAAGTACTGAACAATTGAAGAAAGGAAGGACCACATGAATGAAGGAAGGATTCAAGAACTGAACAACTAAATAATGAAGGAAGGATGGACTGAACTAATGAAGGAAGAAAGGACCAAATGAACGAAAGAAGCATTCAAGGAAGGACTTCCTAGAAGGACAAACTAGGGAACGAAAGAAGGAAAGACGAATGAATGAATGATCAAAGGACCAAATGAAGGAAGGAAAAAAGAATGAAGGAACAAATTAATGAATGAATGAGGGAACGAAGGAAGGGCCAAATGAATAAAGGGACAAACAAATGAATAAAGGAAGGACAGAACAAACAAACAATGGAAGGAAAGAAGGAATATAGGAAGATCACTAAATGCACTACAGTATGTTATGTTTACACATCCCTGGACAAACTGCATGTAAACGCATCAACTTTTCACAGTGTAACACTCACTACTTTTAAAAGGGCTACTTTTTACTCATACTTTCAGTGATATTTACAACACATACTTTTACTCTACTTGCACCACATTTTTGGGCAAGTTTTAATACTTTTACGCGAGTATGACTTTTCAGTACTCTTTCCACCACTGCTGCATATAGTATCCTTGTGACAATGAACCCTAGTTTCTCCTTCATTATAATCATATCACTTGAGTTTCATCAAAAACAGTTTTTTTTAATGACTGTTTCTGACAAGATCATGCAGACATCTTTGAATCTTTCATACGTTCGTCAGTTTTCCCCCTAAGTTTTGAATTATATATAAATGTTTTTATTTAGTTCATACTAAATTCAAAGGAACATAGTTTGAACTTCAAAGCAGTGCCATTCATTTATCAATTATTAAATATTATGTCACATGACTGATGCTATCGGTGCCTTACGCACTAAATAGAGCGCAGATATAATCGTAACAGAATATTTGATCTAAACAGCAGTGAAATAAGCATATGTAATGAACTTCACAGTTCGTCAGGATGCCAAAAACTTTGTCAGATTATTAAGTAACCGTGACAGTAGGTCTTACGCTATTTACCCCCTGTATACTGCCAGAATTGTATATACACTTCTTGATGTGCAGTAGAAGGGTCTGTGTATTGAGATATTAAACTATGAGGCAAATGTGCATCTGACTATGTACGCGATTGAGTAGGAAGGAGGAGGAATGCAGTGTGTGTCCCAAGGCACAGGGAGGATCATGGGACCCTCGCTGCAATGATTCAGTCCTCCACCCAAAGAAAGAGCTCGCTGTTCCCCAAGGATGTTTACTCCTCTTGACTCTGACCAGGGAGAGAATGCGTGAGAGAGAGAGAGAAACTGACAGACAGCGAAAAGGAAAAGCAACCAAATGACAGAGAGAAGTTAGAAAAAGAGTCATGTTTAAGGTAATATTAGATGACGCAACACAAATGAAAGGTTAGTATTTGGAGTGTTGCTATAAAGAGTCTTTTAGAGTTTTATGCTGAAGCCAGAACATGAGCTCGTGCATTCATGTGACTTTGAAGACAAGGACACTTTGGACCGAAGTACCAACACGGTACCATCTGAAGGTCTGCCGTTCTCTGTTACAGGTCACAAAAGCGAGCGCTGCAGCAGCGGCGGGCAGGGCTATTCTTGTACCTGATGACTATCAGGTTTCTGTCAGACCTCAGCTGGGTGTGGTGTACTTAGCATGGGTCTGCAGTGTACAGTCCGCATTGATTGACTGAAGACACTGTATAATCTCACAATGATATGCTGTGTATTAAAGAAAAACACTCAAATAATTATTATATATGGGTGGTTGTCACATAGGCAGTAATAATGTTTTTTGTAAAACACATTTTTTAAAGAAAAATTGATTTATTTAAGTAGTCTGATATAATATAAGGGGTCACTAACATCAACTTTCACTTTTTAAATAAACTGTACCTTAACCTTCATGTCATGGTTGGGTCAAATCTGACCGATTTGCAACTTAAAACCCTCATAAATATTGTGTTTTACATCTGATAGCCTAAAGGCTTTTAAAATCCCTTACACTATGCACTTGAACATCTACAAGTGATGATCACCTCTTTCATTGAATTTTGAGTGTTTTTAATCAACCTTGTTACACCGGTGGTATTGCCAGTTAAAAGCCACTATAAGAAATGAATGGGTATCCAGACTATATTCATCTATCGAACAGAAAACATACCGAGCACTCATGGGACATAAAAGGATACAGTTTTGTTTGTGCTTTACTTGTTGATAAAACATTCAGTTGGATTAAATCTTTTTTAATTTTAATCTTAAATTTTTTTTTTTGTTTTTTGTTTTTTGTTTGGTCAGACCCTTTGCTCATTATTTTGGCGAGCTGTCGATTGGTAATGAAACAAAGTATTTTGTTTTCTGTCTATCTATTGTTCACTTTGTAAACATTTTCAGTATTCACATTTTCAGCTTATTTGTATTTTCACGCAGTTATTTCATTTCT